CCCTTAGCAAAACATTAGAGCAAGTGTGCACACACAAAAAGAGGCCCAGAAGCAATACACTGGTCACATTTGAAGGCATGATGGATTTCTCTTCCAAAAGAAATATTTTAGGAAAGGGAATGCCACAATGAAAAGTCAGCTAATCAAAGTCTTTTATGGCAGAAGCAGGAAGACTAGAGGAGACTCCTGTCCTTGTGTCTCTTGTTTTCATTTACTAGTGATGTAAACTGATGGCCTGACAGCTCTGGTGACTGAACTTCTCTCTCTGGAGACAGGTTCAGCATGCGGGAGACAGAACAGGCACTCCTTCACCTTGAAGTGCACCAGTTTTCTTTTTTTTTCTGGGTCACTGTCATAACATAGTCTGTTAAAGGAAACATCCCCTTTCCTATGACATGCCTATTGCCAAGGTAACAAAAGCCCCCGAGCCTAAATCAGGATCAGAAACCTTAATACGGGCAAGCAAAAGGGATGCCGCTGCTGTGGCTTCTCCCCAACAGTTCCCTCACAACTCTGTCTCTGTCCTGCTCTTCTCTGCTCTTGTGTGCTCTGTGTTGAGAGACAAAATGTGAAGTCGAAGGGGGGAGAGAATGAAGGAACAAGGCCAAGCCGATGGCCCTCCTTTCCATACATGAGGCTTAAACAGGTTTTTGCTTCAATTGTTTCACCATGCAGATGGAAAACCGACAAAGGCCAAAATGCCCCATTACCCTACAATTGCTACTCTCTGGTCTCTTCTACAGTAATCACACAGAACTGACACAACAGATGCTCAAAAGCTATTGAAACCTTCCCAAAAAGCTTCTGTCTTCCTTCTTAGGGATCATGTCTGAATTACTTGAAAGCTCTATGCAACTATTTGGCTTACACACTGTCTTTGAAGAGACTGGATATCAGATAAGACTTACTAGCCACCCATCAATTAGAAATGATGTGTTTTCTGCTCTCACAAAATTACTTTCCTTTTATCTACCACCAACACACCCACATAACACCTGGAAGCTTTCCAATTACATTACCAAACATCAAATTACAAAGGACCCTATCTGATACCTAATCAGACTATTGGTCCAAATAGTATTATCTCCTTTAACAACAAGTCAATCGCCAGATCATGGGCACAAGGAGACTTTTCCCGTTAGATGCTGATCATTCCCTGGTGTGTAGTAGAGTAAAACTGTAAACAAAGAGATTATATCACACGAAAAAGGGAGGAAGACCATGTATTGACATCAGCAAGACTCACGATCAAAGAAAAGTGGAGGAATTTGCCCAAGTGCTTGAGGAAACCCTTCCAGGCCCAGCTGATGCAAATGTACCTGAACAACGGGAATATTTTAAGAACGCTGTTTATAACACTGCCTTGTCCACATTTGGCAAGAAGACTAAAAAGATGGCAGACTGGTTCAAAGCCCATTCAGAGGAGCTGATGCCAGCCATCGAGGATAAGAGGAGAGCTCTAGCAGCATACAAAGCTGCTAGCTGTCCTAGTAAGTACAACCTGCAGGCTCTTCGAGCTGCTCGTAGCAAAGTCCAACAGGCTGCCAGGAGATGTTCCAACAATTATTAGCTTCAGCTCTGCTCTCAGATACAGATAGCAGTGGACACAGGTAACATCAAGGGAATGTATGACAGTATCAAGCAGGCTTTAGGTCCAATATAGAAGAAATCTACTCCCTTGAAGTCTTCTACAGGCGTGGTCATCCAGAACAGAGCACAGCAGATGGAACACAGGGTGCAGCACTACTCTGAGCTATATTCCAGACAGAATGTACTAATCGAAGAGGCATTAAATAAGATCGAGTGCCTGCCTGCCTTGGAAGAGTTGGACAGCAAATCAACTCAAGCAGAAATAAAAGTGGCCTTGGATTCCCTTGCCTCCAGTTAACCTCGGAAGGATAACATCCCTGTTGAACTGCTGAAGTGCCGTAAAGAGATCATCACTACTGAGCTGTATGAAGTCTTTTGTCTCTGCTGGAGGGAAGGTGGAGTACCATAGGACATGGAACATTTAGTAATTAATGCCCACAGTTCTTAAACCCAACAGTGCAGATTCCCTGCTTGTAAGCGCTTATTACTTAATATGCAGATGAGCTATTGGGATGTTAGCAGCGACAACAAGCCCATGTCCATGGAAAGGAGGGCATCTGTGTGCCTCTACAGACCTCACATGGCTGATATGTTCATCTGCTAAAGAGCAGGTGGCAGAAGTGTCTAGATACTGTATTTTTGAAAAAAAAAAAGTAGGTCTTCTCAAGAAGTATATAAAGAAGTTCTTCTCAGCAAACATTCTTATTTGTAATTCAAAGCAGTTCCCTAAAATTTCTTTACAACAGAGACCTGAGAAAGGGATAAATCCATCTTTTTGAAGAGATCAAGTCCTTTGGCTGAGAAAGCAAGAAGAAAATTAAAAGACTTAAAGGAGATATGAAAATGCAGCCGAAGAAGGCTAAACCAGAGAAGCAGTTGTGAAAATAGATTCATAAAATGTCTGCTGTTTTAGATTCATTTCTCTACTCCATGAGCAAGGTTGCCATCCAACTGATTCTTGCCCTGAGATGAGACAGTGAAAAGTCTCAACTTGACACGTTTAAAAGGGGCCATCTCCAGGACCGCACCAGCCAAGTGTTAAAAGCCGCAAACTCTTTATTGGTTGGTTTTAGTGCTACATGTAGTCAACAAAGAGTGGGAAAAGTAGGGAAAGGATCAAAAAAGCTGGGAATCCACACTAGAGGCAAAACCAGGAAAGTTACACAACAGTTGACCCTTCCATAAAGTAAGTATGTGAGGATCACCAAAGGGGAAAAGATCCCACCCAAAGTGTGAAAAAAGCCCCCAAAGTATCCACAAACACAAAGCAAAAAGATCTACAGGACTATTTTGGGCACGTGTTCATACATGTAGACCATAGGTTAGTTAACACTAAAAAGACCTAATTTTACAACAGAAAATAGCAGAAGTACTAGTTAATATAATGTGATAAAAGGAGAAATCCACATGCTTATTAACACATGTGATCCTGAAAAATAGTGCATTAGGACTATAGAAGAAGGATCAGTCTGAGGGGTAAGCTCTACTCTGACTGCCACCGTGGTGCAGAGAGTAAAATTGATTTTGAAGCCTTTTTTATTAACTTATGCCAGGGGATGGATGGAACAACATGACTATGCTGGTTCCCTTGGATCTCTCAAAAGCATCTGACATCATCAGCTATGGTATTTTTCTGGGTTAAAGCAAATCAACAACTAATCCTGGAACAATACTTCTTTGCTCACATATGTAAAGGATGAACACATCAAAGGTTTTGTTGTGTGTGGGTATCCCCCCCCCAAAAAAAAACCCCTCTTCATATTTATGTATGATGTGTATTTGTGTGAGAGACTGAGATACAGGGAGATTTGTAATCAACATTTTACTCTTATTTCATCAAAGTTTATAAAGGTGTATTTTTAAATGGCATCTGAAAGTGTGGAAGACACCTAGTTCATTGATGGGAGGATAGTCCCGGGTGCCGCCAGGTTATATGTGAATTGGGCCCACTGACTGTGACTGCACATTATCCAAGAGGAGTGGCAGCTCTCAGGATGAACATGATTATTGCCTGGCGTACAGAAAGTGACCATGATGCATCTCTCTTCCAACTTCTGATCTAGGGAGGTAAATCTGAAATGTTGTTTGGCATCAAAGCTGGACACAATGAATAAGCAAACTAGCTGAAACTTAATCCAGGCCAAAAAAAAAGAGGTATGATCAGTTGGATGCTATTTTATATAGGTAAGTAAATCCCCAAAATATCACCAAAACTGCAAATGTGGTCTCACTTGATTCAGTGCTATACTCAGTTATCAAGATGGTGATAGGAGTCTATAGCATTGGCTTTGCCAGTTCACCAGATGTGCACTCTGTCCTTTATCTTCAGTCTATATCAGGCTATGTTACTTTCACACATCCTACATAGGACAGTCTACAAATTTCACCTGTTTCATAATGCAGCTGAAAGAGTTTTCAAAACATTCAATGGATTATCTTTACTCGTTTTCTACTTCGGATTCAATTCTAAGTTCTAGTGCTAACTTTATAAACTGTGGAGCCAGAATTTGAGAGTTCAATTCTGCACTGTGCCTCCTTGAATGCAGCTGGACTTGATGATCCAGATGGTCCCTACCACCTCTGCTGTTCTAAAATGATGATGATCGCAATCATGATGATTATATCATCCATAACTGGTAACCTTGAAAACTAAAACAAAATCACAGCATTAAGAATGGTTGGATAAGTCTTGGAAACAAACTTGGGACCTGTTGTATTGTTCTGTATTGTGTGCCGTCAAGTTGATTCCAACTCACGGTGACTCTTCCCAGGGTTTCTGAGATAGAGAAACAGATCAAGCATATCTCAATGTCCATGCGCAACCCATACAGTGGACCCTTGACTTACGGAATTAATCTGTATCGGAACGGTGGCTGCAGGTCGAAAAGTCTGTAGGTCGAGGCTCCATTGACCTACAATGAGTTGAAAACCAATTAATCCATAACCGGCCGTTTTTGTTCCATTTTGGGGTTTTTTCCAGTCTGTTAGGTCGATTCTCCGGCTGCAAGTCGAACCTAAATTTTGCAGTCAGAGAACTCGAAAAGTCTGTAAGTGGAGCCGTCTGTAAACCAAGGGTCCACTGTATCTGAATGACATCAAGCATTTCAGTAGAGAATTGAAGACTTCGTTGATAACCAGTCCCATTGATTTGACTCCTGACTCAGAGAAGGTTTTGCCATATCTTACAAGTATTCACACCTCTCGAGCTACTAAATGAATACTGCTTAACTAGAGGACTCACATTCCAGACACACAACAAGATTCAACACATCCTGGGCTCTGGCATCATCCACAGTGGTCAAACAACTTTACTAACTGAAACTAGTCAGAGCCTTTAAAGGCCTACAACAAGTTTCCATATTTAATCTTCTTAATCATTTTCATGCCAGCAAAATCTACTTGCTTTGGGAGAGAAGGTAGGGCTCCTGTGTTGCCAAGAGTAAGCAACAGCTTACCACATGACCCACCCTCACTGCTAATCTTGGTTGATGGTAAGGAGGGGCTGATCTGGGAGTTAGCCATGTGGTTAAAATTGTATGCTGGGTATTTCCTCCCTCTTTCATTTTTCTCCATTTCTTTCTAGACATGCAAAATTACTCTCTGCAGCCATAGATGTGTCTCTCGGCTGCACTGCCTCTGCCTTTCCTCTGCCAGATGCTGACAGGCTCTGAATCAGTGGACACAGAGAAACAGCTCCTCTCCTATCTGCATGGAAACTGGACGGGGGATGAATAACAGGAGAGAAGAAAGAGCAAAGTTGGTTATTTTTCTGGCACATGGATGCAATTACACAGAGCACATTCCAGAGGCGTTACTTTGAATTCTGAGCAGGTCTGTTTGCCATTCCTGAGTGGAAAGAAGGGGAAAAAGGGAAGAAAAGTCTCTCTCCCAGAGACGGAATGTCTGCACTTTCCATCCTATTTCTAGGTAAGTCAGAGGTTTTATTTTATTTTTTAAATTCAGTTTCCAGCAATGTTGAACTTAGAAATGCATTAGTAAGCAGTAAGGGAGGAACTCTTTGGAAAAGCAGTTTACTTTATAAAGAAAGGCTCGAAGTTTTCTGAGCATGGATATCATCTGTTTTCAATTTCTTGCATTTTTGTTATTTTCATGGTTTGTGGAAGCAAACCAAAAAGTTAAAACCTTATTTCATCGGTGGAGCTTAAAATGTGAGTCTTTCTCCAGGTATGGCTTTAAGAAAACTCAGGAGGCACTTAAACAGTTTAATAATTCTATGGAGTAAAGCTTAAATGTTGGTTAGACCACTCTCTTTCACACACAAATGCATACACATACACAAAACATGAAGAGGTTTCTGTGGAAAAATAACCTTAGATGGTTTTTGTCTTTCACAAATGTGAACAAAGCAGTATTGTTCCAGAATTAGTGATTGATCTGCTTGACATTTCTTGTAGTTTTGCTCAGGAATTTATTTCTGATATTTTAAAGGAGCTCATTGTTCCAACTCAGATTGTAGTCAGCCTAAATTAGAAACAGATGTGTTAAAGTACAAGCGGGAGGGAGATACAGAAGAGAGTGATAGAAAGAGAGAGACGATAAAAGGACATAAATAAATTAGGATGGGGAACCACAAAAGAGAAAAAATGGGACACAGAGGTGCAGAGAAGACTGAATACAGAGATGCTGAATGAGCAAATCCATAAAGAAAAAGGAGAGCAAAGCAAAGTAAAAGGGAAGTAATGGTTATTTCTCACATTTCATCCTTAATAATAGAAAAGCAAAACAGGTTTCCCACAAAATCAGCAGGGGGAGCAACTAAGAGTGCTTTTCTCTTTTAATGTACATGTTAAGATCCACATGTTTCCACATGTGTTGCTTTCACATTCACACTTTGCATTTTAGTTATACAACTAAAATATAAGGCAATCTAAAGTTCACCACCTTGAAGAAGCAATTATTTCACAGAAGTAGATTTAACTATAAGCTTAAATCTATCACACAGAATTCAATGGATTCTAAGTGCTCAACTTTTCCTGTGGCCAGAGTGTGTGAAGGAGAGAACATCCAAGAGAACGTGCAAAGCAGGAATAATTTAGCAAAAGTATACATTAAAAAGCTGTACTAATGTATCTTCATCACAAACAACATGTTGTACCATACGAGGGACAACTGACAATAATGTGCCATAGATGGGAGTTAATAAGGCTGCTGCTTTTTTGCTTTACCCTAACATAGAGGACAAAGTAAGCTAGCATGATATGCTTCATAAAATGGAGGGGTAAAATGACAAAAGAAAGCGTTAAGAGAGACTATAGTAAACAGAGTGAATATTGGCTTCCTTTGTGATAGAATCAATTACCATCTCTATCACTCTTCCAGCAACATCACAGTGTGGGGAATGAACTTCCCTCTCAGCTCCACGCACATCTAGCTGACAAGCAGGCTTCACTATGGCTGCCATAGCTTGATCTCACCACCTTGGGAGACTCGGAACATTTTTAAGACAAAGATTCCTCGCCGTTTAGGAAAGCTAAGGAAGGGAATTGACCAGAAAACATTTTAGAAGCTATGGAGGTCTAATGATGGACGGCTGATGCTGAGGATAGGGGAACAATGGCTCTTGAGCAGAACTGCTTGAGAAGTAAATGTGAATTATATCTCAAATATAATTCCTGCTTGCTGCTTCAAGCATCATATATCTACAAAGGGTTCCAGCTCTTAGGCAAACCCAAGTTTCTTCAAAGAAGGAGGGAATACTAGCAACAGTAGTTTAGAGAAAGTGAATGCTGAAGCGGAAATAGAATCATGTCTTCTCTGCTACAAGACTTGGCTGAATGTCCACACATGGTTTAGAGGTGGGAAGTGGTGGGCTGCTTTTCACATCTTGTGGTCTTCTGTGTACACCAGAATGAATCAGGACACCTGCCCTATAAAACAAGTAGGAACATAGCACAAGCTCCTCTGTTAACACCTGCTGCAATCTGTTAGATAGAAAAGGAGATGCATCCTAGTGGGAGTATATCTTGGGAGACAGAATACAGCTGTGATTGTGCAAGAAGGGACCAAAATCCTCAGTGACTAACACAAAGGGCTAGCATAGATATGCAATATGAAAGTGATTCCTGTCTACTTGTGAGTTTGTTGGAAGTATTTTGTAGGACCCCACAGGATGAATGCTCATTGACTACATGGCCATTTGGTGTAACCCTATACAGATGACCTCCAGAGCTGCTCCTCGATAATTTTCTCATGTTGTGACAAAAGGCTACCAGGAATTTCAAAGTTTGCAAAGATACAAAAATCATTTAAAGATGAAACACTTACAATGGGGTCTTGAAAAAAAAAAGACAGAGGAGACTAGGTGTGCTCAACAGCCAAATAAATGCTGATTAACTGTTGGGGGGAGGGGATGGAAAACCAGTTGATGTGGGGAATGGAAAGGCATGTCCTAAACACTGCAACATTTTGTTACAGCTTCCACTTATTATAACTATTACCATGTATAGCATTAATTTAAAAAAGAAGGGAAGTGTGAGTCAAAAATGGATATAAATAAGGTAACTGAAATGTTACTATGTGCACCAGAAAAATATGGCCAGAGTTCAGAAATGCAAGACTGAAATATAAAGTTATAATATATTTACTGTAGATCAAACTATACAAAATAACTGAAAACAGATTTTTTTTATCTTCAGCCATTTACCAATGAGAAACGACTACCTCAAAAATTAATGCTCATTTACCTTCTAAATTATGCTTCAAATATAGTCAAACGTTATATCTGCCATTTACATTTCTGTGGCAATTTAATATTTTTAAAGTAAATGCAAGTTGTCATTTGTTATAAATAGTTGGGCAGGCTAACAGAAAATGTCAGCCTCAAAATCCAGCTCTGGTATAGGAAAAGGACTTCTCCCTGTGTTAATTCTCCCTTTATCCCATGCTTTCATCGTCAAAATCAGAGAATGTGAAGTCAGCTTACTTTAGTTATTTTAACTATTCTCATTTATTCAACAATTTTCAGAAGACAGAGTGGTGGCATAATACAGTATGCAAATTTAGTAACAATCTTCAAACAGACACATTCAGTTATTTAACTGAGCTGACTCTAGATAACATATGAACATTTCTTTTCACCTTGATTGTATTTCCTTCCTAAAATTTATCTCTAAAGAGAAACTGGAAAATTGCTTTTATATTGCTACTGCAGTGTTTCACAACAATGAATTAAGAATATTCAGCATGGGATTAGTGGGCAATTTAGTGCTATTGTAATATTATCCTAATATTATAGGATTAATGAGGAATAGCTGACCACATAACTTCTCAACTATTTACATATAGCCTCTGGGACTCTGTCATCAGTCCCCATATCACTGCATGAGAAGAGAAGGAAGTTCCAACATTTAGAGGTAGTCTGAAGAAGATGAGAAAATCAGGAAAGTCTGTTCTATCTGTTTAAAAGGAATTCTGCAGAGCGCAAACCATGGGAAGACCCATTCTATTATCATGGTTAGCCAATTTTTTAAAAAGTTTTTTGCGAAAAGTTCAATTTATTTTCCCCAGTAACTCCAACTTCTAAGACCCATGGAATATTTGAATGTTAATACTGTGATCCAAAGCACACTAGGCAGGAAGTAAGTTGCATTGAACTCAGTGGGACTTGCTTTGAAGCAGATGTTTTTAGATTGCAAACCACATGTAGGAGGGTGGAAAATAACATCCACCCTGCAGGCTGGATTCATGCAATATTCTCCAAAAGTAGGTAGCATGGTGGAATTGTTTGCTGAAGAATCCCAACTTCAAACAAAAATGTCATTCTTCTATTTTGTTTTATTTTACTTCAGCTTTATCATGCAGTCCTAGAAAGAACTGTGAGACTCAGCAATACCAGAGCAAGTTCATATAACATTATTTTAACCACTTTTAAACTGAAGCTCCCAAAGCACCCTGTGAAGTCAAAACAAGTCAATGTTTTGTTCAGAGTCATCAAATGAATCTTGGAAATGTTCAAATGCATGTCTAGATCTGAGCATAAGGATCTTACTAATAGCAGACATATTAAAACACACATAAGCATAATAACATTCGTATCACCATGTTAAAAAAAATCTACAATTGTATTTGGTAAGGCTGAGGTTTTGGCCACTTTTACGAATCAGTATAAATTATTCCAATCACAGAAGATGTATTTTCTGATAGCTGAACTTGAACTTTAGTGCAGAATTCTAGGGGCAAACAAAAATATTTTTTTTCTTTTTGCCTACAATTAATATTCTACCAGTCAGATAAACTGTATGCAACTAGTTAAAATCACTACCTCAATAAAAGGGATAGTAGTTCTTTTCTTTATTTGCTGACATTTTCTTCTGCTATCAAGTTCCTTATACTGCTGATATGATATGGTTTACTCTATAAGCATCTGCTTTATTACAGCTTTAAAACAAAGGTCAAATAAGGTTAGATTTCTAGATAAGGAGATGTCGGGAGAAAAAGTCCTAAGCCTTCAACACAATTGTCAGATCAGGATTTCCTTGCCTCCAGTGCTGAAGCTGCGCAGTAGCGCTCCTCCATCATCTATTTTACTGATGGCAATACTGTACAGTACAACCAAGGGTGTTGATTGGAAGTTAAAAACCTCCTAGCACTTGCTAGTTTCTATCATCATTAGTGGCAGTTAAATGAGCATATAAATGCCAGATAGGTGGTGATGGGCCAGGCTCTACAATGAAATGTTGCATTTTAACATATTCCATTCATTTGCATTTCCTGGGCCCAAATGCACATGCAGAGTTCAATTAAATAGCCGTTCTTGGGATGCAAACTCAAGAAGCCAAGGTCAGCAGCCACAGGCAGAACTAAACTCCAAAAGAAAGAACATGCAGATTCACTTTTGAGGCAAGGCAACACACACTAGGATCACAGGAGATGAAAAAAATGGAGATTGTTTCAACAAGTGATTGTTT